CAGGGAGCCCGATGTGGGACTCGATCCAGGGACTCCAGGATCATGACCTGAGCCGAAGGCAGTCGCTTAACCAACTGAGCCACCCAGGCGCCCAGCTGCGGTATTTTTATACGTCTCCTTTTTTACATGTCACCATTTTGAGGCACTTACCATTTGGTAAATTCCAGTAAATGGTGACACTCACAAAGTCATTTCTAAGCAGTATTTTGGGAAGGAGCATAATGTGAGCACTTTTGAGTCCCAAGATTTATACCTGAACCTCAGGTCAACATTTTATAACCCTATGGTGATGGGAGGATGGAAGCTCTTGTTCCTGAGCAGAGAACATAAGGATTAGAGTGAGTGCTTTTGTGGGTGAGGTTTTTAGTGTTTGTACAGATAGTTTCTTGGTTCACTGATGCAGTGTCTCATCAGATTTCATCTAGAACTATTTTCCTTCTGTTTCTGCTTATTCTGATTTCACTTTATAGCTCTGTTATAGCACTGAATTATTTCTAAAAGAGCTTTGCTTGGAAAAGATGCCCTATTTTAACATTTTTTACAGACTTTTGGTATTAACCTGTCATATATGTAATTCACATACATCTGAAAGAAAATTTTTTCTTTTTTCATTTTGAGGTTTCTTTCAAAGGGAGAATAAGAAATGTTATACTGAGTAACATACTTCATCTTTGAAATAAAATTAAGTTGGAGTGTCATTATCATTTATAATATTGTTATATTAGACAAACTACCAAATCTGATTGCTTAATTGGTAATACTGTGTATACAGAAGTCACATAATCAATGATTATTACATAGCAAATAACATTTTTGCCATCATGAAATACATCTCTGATGGGCATTGTATAATCATGTTAGCAATTCTTTGTCCTAGGAGAGGCTGACATTATTTTATCCCATTTTACAGAGAAGGGATTTGAGGTTCACACCAGTTTGGGGAATGTGAGCAGTGTGACCTGGCCTGCTGAGAGCCAGATCTGAAGTCTGAGGTTTAGATCCAAATTCCTTTCTCTGTCCACCAGGCAGAGCTGAGCATTAATGAAGGTTAAACATTTTCTGAATCCCAAGTCCACTAGTAAAACCAAACACTTCAGTAGTTCATTGTAGCCGAAAGCTTCATCATTAATTCAGGTATAAGACTGACACATGTATTATTAAGCAGTAGATCCTAAAGAATTCTGATTTTGTTCAAAACACCATTTGTTGCTACAATGACTCCTTAACTTTAGATTTTGAATCTGTATACCAATTTCCATTTCTCCCTCACTGTTTTGCACCCTGAACGTTATAAAATCAAAAGACTTTGATACTGGAAAGGGCTTAGAGATTGTCTGAGTCTGGCTCAGTCCTTGTAAAGATGAAATGACTAAGCTAACAGAAGGATTCAGTGATTTGCTTCCTATCATCCATCTTCTTAAGGGACTAACCAGACTCTTGAGTTCTAGTCGAGTGTTTTTCCATAGTCTCCTTTCTGTCCCATAAAAATTCTCTATGTGATTTATAATCCTATTTTAGTTCCTCTTAATGTATGTGCTTGTTTTACAGTGGTTGCTTTTCCCTCTGACCTTACTCTTGTACGTCTTCCACTTCACATCATGGTTCCAGCCCCAGTGGGCTCACGATTGGTAGGCACAGATCTGGGTGGAGAATGATAGAAGGAAAGGATCGGGAATCCTGGGAAAGCTTAGTATCCCTCTCCTGAGCTCCAGAAGAGCCTTCCACATCACATTGGTTTATGACTGTCTCTGTGTGTCTCCCTTCTCTACTCTGAATTCCTTGAGATCAGGGACTATGTCTTATTAATGTGCGTATCCCTAATAGAGCTATAAAGTCTGTATCCAGGAAGTGTTTTCAACAACTAAATGATAAATGAACTTTCATCTTCTTAATCCTATACTCTGTATTATCCATCTCAGTGTCTTTCCTTCTTACTTGAAACAACTCTGTGGTAATGTTTTTGATCCATTATAATTTCTACTTCCTTTGGGTATCATTACACAAATAACCATGGCGGCCTCTTATGTTTATTCAGCTTGTTTTTTTTCCATAATCTGTGCAGTGGAAAATCCTGTCACCCTTGAACTTGCCCATTTTAGCCCCAGTAATTCTAAATTCATATCCTGTCTTCCAAAGTGCTGACCATTCATGCTGCAATGGAAGAACTAACATTGTTATACTTATGGATCTTGACATCCTTTACCATTAATTCTTTAAAATACATTGTATTAAGAACCAATATGCTGTGTATTTATGCAAAAAGAGATGTATTATAAGGAATTGGCTCACACATCTCTGGAGGCTAACAAGTCCAAAATCTACAGAGTCGGTCAGCAGGCTGGAGATTTAGGAGGGCTCATGTTCCAGTTCCAGTCCCACTGTGAAGGCAGTCCGCTGGAGAATTTTTCTTGCACAGAATCTTTTTGTTCTACTAGGGCCTTCAACTGATTGGATACAGACCACCCACATGGTGTGCGTGGAGTAGGAGGCAGGGCACGGATCTGTTTTACTCAGAGTCCACGAGTTTAAATGTTATTCTCACCCCAAAGAGACCCCACAGAAACACTCAGAATAATGTTTGACCAACTATCTGCTACCCTGTGGCACAAACTGATACCTAAAATTAACCATCACACCCATTGCTACTGATTTTCTTGCATGGTGCAATCACCAGATCTTCTTTTCTTTCTTTTTTTTTTTTTTTTATATTAATAACCAATTGGTCTAGTACTATTTATTTAAATAGTCCCTCCTTCTGTCTTATCTTTAGGCCTACTTTGTGATACATGTGTAGGTCTTTTTCTGGAATCTCTCTTCGGTTCTGCTGGTCTATTTACATATAATTGTGTCTGTGCTGCCCTGATACCTTTATGGCAAACTCCACACCAGGGTGTTCTGTTTCTTCATGCGTGCCCGGCCTGGTATTGGTCCTTTTGACTTCCATATGTATTTTAGAATTAGCTCATAAAGTTCCATAAAGAATCTTTTCAGGATTTTTATTGGAAGGGCATCGTATCAATAGATCAATTTAGGGAAATTTGACAGGTTGCCGTCTAAGATGATGGGAATGCCTCTTCACTGATTTGGGTCTTTTTAAGTGTATTTTAATAACGATATTTACAGTTTATTCCACAAACGGCTTCTTCATCTTTTTATGGATTTGCTACTGTGTACTTTACATTCTTGTATAGTTTAACAGGTTACTTCTGGATTCTTATATGTTACTTTTATGTCCACTGACTTTTTAAAGTATAAGGTGTAATGGACACAAAACTTTATATTAGTTTGAAGTGTGAAATAGAATGATTGGACATTTGTATACATTACAAAAGGATCACAAATCTAGTTAGCATCTGTCGCCATGCATAGTTAAAAATTTTTCTTGCAGTGAGGGCTTTTAAGATCTAATCTCGGGGGCGCCTGGGTGGCTCAGTTGGTTAGGCGACTGCCTTCAGCTCAGGTCATGATCCTGGAGTCCTGGGATCGAGTCCCGCATCGGGCTCCCTGCTCGGCGGGGGGTCTGCTTCTCCCTCTGACTCTCCCCCTCTCATGCTCTCTCTCTCTCAAATAAATAAATAAATCTTTAAAAAAAAAAAAGATCTAATCTCGGGGTGCCTGAGTGGCTCATTGGTTAAGCATCTGCCTTCAGCTCAGGTCGTATCTCGGAGTCCTGGGATCAAGCCCCGCATCATCAGGTTCCCTGCTCAGCAGGGAGTCTGCTTCTCCCTCCTTCTGCCCCTCTCCCTGCTTGTGCACATGCGCGCGCGCGCGCTCTCTCTCTCTCTCTCTATCTCAAATAAATAAATAAAATCTTAAAAAAAATCTACTCTCAGCAACTTTCAAGTATGCAATACAGTATTATTAACTACAGTCACAGGCTATACATTACATCCCTGTGACTTTAGAATTGTCTTAGTAAATGTACTGATTTATCTGTAGACATTTGAGAGTTCCATGTGGGCAGTCATGTCTGAAAATAATGACAGTTCTGTTTCTTCCTTTCTAATCTTTATACTTTTTTCTTGTCGCTAACTAGGTCTTTCTAGTTGGCAGTGCAGTTATTAGATAGGGGTGGTAATAGTAAGCCTCCTTTTATTATCCTGATCTGGAAGAGAATATGTTTAATACTTCTTCACTACATATGATTTTTCTGTAGGTTTGTAGTATATATTTTTTATCAAATTAAGGAAACTGGCTTCTATTCTTATTTTGCCAAGATTTTATTCTAAATAAATGTTGAATAACTTTGTCTATTGAGATACGTTTTTTCTCTTTAATCTATTAATATTACAAATTATATTACTTACTCAACTTTAATACTTCATCTTTAAACTGCCCTTGCCACCCCCTACATTGTTGTGAGAAATAGGCCCCAAAACGGGGAAAGTAATGGCAATTACTTTAACATTATTTAGAATTACTTTAACATTGTTTAGAATTACTTTAACATTATTTAGAATTTATTGAGAATGATGGGGTACACCTTACATAAGTCAGGTTTCACTCAAATTATAAGTTCCATTTTATGCTAGGATAATGGGCACCAGTAAGAAAGTTCTCAATGTTGGCTCAAGTTAGAATCACCTATACTGATCCTGGGTCTCACTCCCAGAAATCCTGGTTAAATTGGTCTGGACATCAATGGTTTTTTTTTTAAAGATTTTATTTATTTATTTGATAGAAAGATAGCAAGAACAGGAACACAAGCAGGGGGAGCGGGAGAGGGAGAAGCAGGCTTCCTGCCGAGCAGGGAGCCCGATGCGGGGCTCGTTCCAGGACCCTGGGATCATGACCTGAGCCGAAGGCAGACACTTAACGACTGAGCCACCCAGGCGCCCACATCAGTGTTTTTTAAAAGCTTCCAATAAGACTTATGTTCAGCTAGGGCTGCCAGTTGTTGGTTTAAAAGTACATTTTGTGCTTTTAAATGCACCTTTTCAAAAAGTGACCATGATTTGTTTTTCCTTTAGATCTTTATCAGAGTAAGCTTTTTTTTTTTTTTTAACAACAACAACAACAAAAAAGGACAGGATAAAGTGGTCAAGATTCCCAGTAACAATAAATAAATCTTCCTCCCTTCAGTGTTTAGTACGATGCCAATTAACCACCATTTATTTTTTTAAAGAGAAGAAAACCAAGCCCCCAGATTGGCAAACACATTGGCAAGTTGCTGATTTCCAAGCGAGTTACCCTTGTCAAATCCACTCAAATCTTTTCAATAGATTTGGGCTTTTCAACACACCCAGCCTGCTGGGTACAGTTAAGTAAAAGGCATTTGCTCTGAGAGTCCCCTGCTACCGTTCTGTACCCTTGTGGATGTATTTGGCTTCCATGGAAGTGGGTACAGGAGATGAAGTGGGGGTTGTGCATCTGCTGGGTGGTGGCGTGCACAGGATTGGAGGTGGGTGCAGATGTGCAGGCAAGAGGTAGGGTGGGAGAAAGGAAGTCCTTCAGCCCCTACAGAAACAAACACTGCAGTCCAGTAGGGCTCATTCGGATGCATTTTCCATGAAGCTGCTAGAAATTCAACCTACCTGGCTACTCTTAAATGCAACAAGTATCAGAATAAGCATTCTAATGGGTTTTTTCTTCATTTCTGCCTTTTCTTGTCTCAGGTAACTGCTGGTGTCCCGCTAAAGAAAGAATATACAGAGGAGGTAAGAGCAGATGTCTTGAAGGCTTATGTGCAGAACCATTTAAATCCAGTTAACCATTGTCTAGCAACTGAATCTCAATCAGTCAATGAGTCCTCCACCAGTGGCCTCTTGGGAAACTGCTTTTCTCATGATCCCGGAGGAAATGGGTGGGGGCGAGGGATAAAGTCCATTCATTTAACTCTTCATTCTTAAGAAATGATGGATGTAGGAGTCACATATGTACTGTTTCCTACCCTCTGAGCAGCCATCAGACAGGAGCCCAGTCTCTAGCACAGAAACAAATAGGAAGCTTACACCCGTGTATTCTTCTGCTAAGGAAAAAACTGACTTTTGGAGCATATACATTTGGCTTTAATCACTCACTTGAGCTGCTTGACTCTTGGGTAAATAGACTTTGATTTACTGGCAACAGAACTTCTTAGCTCCTACAGGTGGCACCCGGGGTTTGAGCTGGGAATGGCCGGGCCACGCTCCCCACCCTCCCCGGGGCCTTGTACCAACCTACAAGAGAACGAGCACATTGCTTGTGCCTTGGCCACCAGTCAGCAGCAGAAATAGCCGCCTGGCTCAAGACCTTGATACACCATTGGACCCAGACTGATTTCAGAAATTATTTTGAAAATGAGCCTCCTCCTTCTGTAAGCCACCTTTTCTTGGAGGAAAAAGTGTTTTATGGGCTTGTTTAATAGCTTCTAGGACAGTAAAGGGAGCAAGATGGAAGCAAAACCCGCCAGAGTGGACTGGCCAGTTAAGTTTGGCAGCATTGGTAGGAGGTGTACATGGGGGTCTGGTTTTCTTCCAGAACATCCAGCTGGTGGCAGACGGCTGCTGTAACCTTCAGAAGCAGATTCAGATTGCTCAGCTCTTTGGGGTTCCCGTTATTGTGGCTCTGAATGTCTTCAAGTAAGTGAAGCCCCCCCACTTAAAATATGTTCCTCTTGCTGGGCCACCGTGTGAACTCTGTTTGTGTCTCGAGGGTGTTTGGTCTTTCTCAGCTTCATCTAAAACTATATAGAAATATTCTGCTCCTTCTGTTTGTTTGTTTGGGTTGGGTTGGGTTGGTTTCATTTTAACAGAAGTTTCCCAAATGTTTATGGGAAATGAAATCTATATAGTGAGTTAACATTTCCTTGGCTTTTATTTTATTTTTTTTTTAAATTCCACCCGGCATTTCTGTCTGAAAGACTGTGGATGATCAAAGGGTTATGTTATGGGATTTTCTCAATAAAACCCTTAACAACTTGAAATATTTGAGTCCTGTTGGAGAGGTTTTTTTTTTCCCGCCAATGCTTTTCTTTAAGTCTGATTTATCTAAACACAACGTAACCACTTCTGATGTTGAGAATATATTCAGTGTTAGGGAGCAAAGTTCTGTATGAACGGTTAGTCTTTCTTTAAAAACATCACTAAATGAATACAGATGCAAAACCACAAATGTTTTCATCACTAGGACTGACACCCGTGCTGAGATTGACTTAGTTTGTGAGCTCGCGAAGCGGGCTGGCGCCTTTGATGCGGTCCCCTGCTATCACTGGTCCGTCGGTGGGAAAGGGACGGTGCAGCTGGCTCGGGCTGTGAGAGATGCTGCCAATAAGGGAAGCCGTTTCCGGTTCCTGTATGATGTTCAGGTAAGCTCCACCTCCCCTGTGCATCGGGCCAGTGGCGGGGCGGCGGTGGGGGAGGGGGGTGAGGCGCACAGCTTGTCCCGTCCAGATATGGAAAGTGCAGGGGAAAGAGGTTGAACCACCTGACCAAGGCCCATGGCCACGGGCAGAAGCTATCCTTGCCCCAGGGCCTGTGCTCCCAAAGCTACCCTCTACTTCCCAGGAGCAGGCCTGAGCGAGGAGGGGCTTTGGGGAACAGGATTCGACAGCTGACACATTCAGGGCTTGCTCTTTTGAGCAACTTATGTTTTTTTCCTTTTAAGATTTTTATTTATTTGACAGAGAGACACACAGCAAGAGAGGGAACATAAGCAGGGGGAGTGGGAGAGGGAGAAGCAGGCTTCCCGCCAAGCAGGGAGCCCGATGTGGGGCTCGATCCCAGGACCCTGGGACCATGACCTGAGCCGAAGGCAGACGCTTAACGACTGAGCCACCCAGGCGCCCCATCTTTTGAGCAACTTCTTAAGGCTTGTGAAATCATGAGCAGTATCTTCCTCGTCTGTTTCTGCCATAGTTCTCATCCTTCATTGTGGTTTTCTGGAGCTATATGTATGATATTTGTGAAATATGTTTAATTGTATAATCCACATAACCTGACACTTACCATCTCTACCATGTTGGGGTGTACAGTTCAAAAGTGTTAAGGACATTCACATTGTGGTGCAACCATCACCCATCTCCAGAGTTCTTTTTGTCTTCCAAAACCTAAACTCTGCACCCATTAAACCCCAGCTCCCCATTCCCACCCCCACCCTTGGTAGCCACCCTTCCCCTTTCTGTCTCTACGAATCTGATTGGTCTGTATATCTCATATAAGTGAAACCATCCAGTTCTGGTCTCTTTCATGATGGGCTTATTCTCCATCTCAGTCCTTTCCGGCTGCTGGAAGGAATAGCACAGACTGGGTCGCTAATGAACAACAAAAGTTCAGTTTTGGAGGCTGGGGCATCCAAGATCAGGGCTCGGGCAGGCGTCTGGTGGGGCCGGCTTCCTCTGTCATGCACGGCTGTGTTCTCATTGTATCCTCAGGTGGAAGAGAACTGGGGTCTCACTAGGGTCTGTTTTAGGAGGGCACTGATCCCATTCCTGAGGCTTCCCGTCTCCTGACCTATCACCCTGAAAGCCCCGCCTCCTCCTAATTCCATCAACCTAGTTGCCCCCAAAGTCCCCATGTCCCCTAACACTGATCACATTGACGATTAGTCTTTAACATATGAATGGCAAGGAGAGGGTACAAACACTCGGTCTGTATCATTTACTTAGAGTAATGTCAGGGTTCATCCATGTTCTTGCATATGTCAGAATTTTCTTCCTTCCATTGTATGTATATGTCACATTTTGTTGATTCATTCATCTGTCAGTGACCATTTTGGCTAATTACACTTCCTGATTCATAAACAATGCTGCTATGAACATGTGTATAAAAATATCTCTTTAAGACTCTGCTTTCAATTCTTTGGGGTATACACCCAGAAGTAGAGTTGCTGGGTTGTCTAATGCATTTCTAAACAGCTGGATAATGAGCCTTCAGAAAATCTGAACTTCCCAGGACCTCACTCCGTTCATCTTGACACCCAGCTGCACATCTCTATTTTGAATTCTGCGGCTTCAGCCCTGGCTACTGGATTTGTCCCCATCGATAGCCCATGATTGTCAGGGTGCTCAGCCTTTAAGCTGGTTGCTGCTTCTCCCATTCCTTCATCCCTCGCACATGCTGTGGGTCTCTCAAATGTCACAGACAGTAACATCGCTCCTCCTTCCAGATCAGATGCATAAACCAACAGTATATGTGGAGAGAGGACATAGCAGAGTCACAGCATCCAAGAGCTTGACGTTAATCTTACTGCTAAGCCTCATGCTTACCGAGGGCTTTCTGTGTGTCAGGCATGCAGTCACCTCGTGCCTGTTAACTGCTTTAGTCTCGGCATCCCTGTTAGGTAGGAACTGATGGTATTCGCCCCATTTTACACACATGGAAACTAAAGTACGAGGACATTACATAGCTTCCCAGTGTCCCATATCCTGGAAGAAGCAGAGCTGGGAGAGTATCTGGAATGATGGAGGTGATCTTCCTGCTCTGTTCTTCAGAATTCAGTACAGTGTTCGAAAGTGGGGATGAGGGTGGGGAATTACTCCTTAAAGGGGGGACCCACCTGCAGAGGAAGGACGGCGGTGACAGGCACAGGACGGACATTGTGGGCCCTCCGTAAATGTGTGTGAACGGATGAATTTCAGGACCGAATTGGGATAGTTAGGCCACAAAAGGTTTGTCATGTTGAAAGGCCATGTCATGAACAAGAGACGAGCATGTTCTGGGATACAGAGGGGGTGGAGATCAGTAAAGGGAGGAGACCCAGGTTCGACATAAAGAAAAATGGTCTAATTAGAAGAGGTGAGTTCTCTGACCCTGGAGATCTGAAACAGAAGGTAGATGCGGCCCTGTGTTCCTTGCCATACCTTCCTGCCCGGGCGAGCCTGCCCGGCTGTCTGCAGCGCCTGTCCCCGCCCTGGGCCCTCTCACACAGACCACTGTCAGGGGCCTCACTCTCCCTGGCCTGCTCCAGGAGCCTCAGACCACTGCCGTCTGATCTGGAACCACCCCACTCTGAGTGGCAAAGGCAGGTTCTGAATGACTGATTTCACAAAGTAGGGCTGTTTTCAAGGAAACCTTCCCAAGTGAAAAGAAGGTGGGTAAAAGAGAAGAAATGTTCCTGAGTTAACGCTGTCTCACACATGCACTACCCTAAAGATGAACCCCTTTCCTTTCCGATATTTTAATTTTCTTTCTGAATTCCCATTCTTCATGGAGATAATGCTGTTAAAATGTCTGCTTCCCTATAAATAGGGGGGAGATTTATAGTACTGTGGACTAAAGTCCTGCGTTTCCTAGGATTCTTGCCTCCTTTGCCAGCATACTCTTCTCCCTTTTCTTATAACACAGAAATTAGATGTGGATTGCATAATTATTTATTAGAGAACCAACATCTCAGCATATCGCCGCACAACGAGAAGAGCAGTTGCTGCTTCTGGCTCACTGCGTGCTGCCTCCCTCATCGCTGTGTTCCTCACTTTGGGAGGATGATTTTAGATAATAGAAGACCATTTACAGTCTTCTCTAGAAATCTGTATCCCTTGGTGCAGTCTGTAACACAGCTCAAACGTTTCTTCCCTCCTCATTTCTTGTATATCGTGTTGGTGAACCTTTACAGGCTAATTCAGGGTTTTCCTGAAACTCTTCATTCCCCCGCAACTAACCCTTTAGCGCTTGGCAGGTTGATATGTGTGGGATTACCCTACAGGAAAAAAAGAAGTAATAAAGTACTTTGGATAAGTCACCCTGCTGCCTTTGCTTCTGAGCGCAGACTGAGCTCCTGTGTGCCTTTTGCTATCTCCCCAGACTGTGTTCCACCAGGAATGCATCCCGTGCAGGGTTGATGGCGTCTCATTTCTGCCCCAGTTCTGCGTTACAGAAGAAAGTCACCTGAGACCATTCAGAAGCATTTGACATAGTATAGGAGGGCAGGACGTGATTGCTTTTGTATGGGAAGGAGGAATCATCTCAGAACCCCAGTGGAAGGAGGAACAGCTAGGGAGCAGAAGAAACACTTGACCTCAGAGACGCTGTGGGGCCGGACAGCTCCCAGAGCGAGAGGCTTGATGATGGTGAGTCCGGAGTTAAAGCAGGAAACAGGCTGCACTTCTGACTTGGGGGTCTGTGCTGAACTTGATAGAAAATTGAGTTAAGCAGCCACTGTTCTTCAGAGAACAATTCTGCACCTCTTTTATCAGAGTAGCTTCTTTTTTTAAAAGATGTTCTTTTTAGGGTTAGTGGCTCAGTCGGTTAAGCGTCTGCCTTCAGCTCAGGTCATGATCTCGGGGTCCTGGGATTGAGTCCTGCATGGGGCTCCCTGCTCAGTGGGGAGTCTGCTTCTCCCTCTCTCTACCCCTCCCCCCACCCCCACTCATGTTCTCTGTCGCTCTCTCTCTCAAATAAATA